TTTATCTGCAGTTAGTTACACGAATTCATATATGGGATGAAATCGGATAGGGGTGAAATCGGATAAGGATGAACGGGTTTAAGAGTTTTAAGAGTTTTTAAGAGTTTTAGCCAAATGCTTTATAAGATAGTATAGATGAGTCGTTTTAGAAATAATCTTGAATAATTTTTTTAAATAAATTCATGAATATGAAATTAAGAAATATCATCAATAACCAACAGTAAGTTTTACATTTTACGTCATAATAAGGTTAAATTTTAATATAAAAAATGGTAATTGTATTTAAAGTTTATCATTTTTTTCGAATTAAATGCATGAAATAACAATCTACTTTTATAAATTTTCTTATTATAATATTCTACTTTTGTTTCTCTTTATTATAATGTACTTTTAAATTATTTTTTATTAAGACATTGCACTTTAAAAAAGCTACCAATTATAGCAATGGGTAACATGTTACCTTTTAAATCGGTTAACTCCTTGACTTTTTTTTGTTTGTGTGGCTGTAATGAGATGATGTGAATTATACATCATTTAGATGACTTAATTAAAACTAGAAAGTACTCGCGCAATGCAACGAGATACATATTTATTTTAATGTTTCGTTTTATTTTTTTGTCTTTGTTGATATAATACAGTTTATGTAGTTTTGAGAAAGATAATCTTTTTTACTTTTAAATAAAAATAAATTTGAAGACATCATAAAAATTTTAAAAAATATATCGATATTAATATCAAATTAATTATTTAAAAGTTCTTTTTTTAATATAATTTATTTTTTATTATAATTTAATTTAGGCCAAATAGTGAAGTAATTTATTTTTGGATTAACAATAAAAATTTTATAAGAATAATGATTTTGTTAGAACTCGGTAATTATCCTAACTATATTTTAGATTTTTTATATTTTAAAATGAGATGTTTATCTTTTATTTGATTATGTTTATCAACAGTTAGTTACACGAATTCAAACATAGAGCTTTAATAAGTTATACTTATGCATAACTTATTTTAATCTTGAATTTTAAGTAATATGCATCAATATACAGCAGTTTATGCATAAAAAATAGTTTTTAAGAATTTATATCAAATGCTTTATAATATAGTATAGATAAAAATAAAAATCTATTTCAAATTATTATTAGTGATTTTTATTTTTCATTACTATTATTTAAAAAATATTTAATTTTTTTCAATTTTTTTATTAAGTTGCATGCAAATTAAATATTTTAGAGTAAAATATTTTTTAAATAAATATGCTACATTAGTTTCGAGATATATTTTTTGTTCGTAAAAAAAGGTAACACTTCTTATTTTATGTTGTTAAAAAATACATTTTTTAAAGTTTTCTCTAAAATGTTAACGAAATGAATTGTGTTCTACAATTTTTTAATATTGTTATATTATTAAATAATTCAAAAAAATCTAATTAATTTAATATATTTATACATCAAATAAAAGTTTTTGAATAAATATAATATATATTTTTTAGAAGATAGTATTTTTTGGTAAAAAAAAATAACAATTGTTATTTTTGTTGTTTCAAAAAACACATACATTTTTTTAAAATATCAGGAGATTAATTGTCTTCTACTAGTTTTATTAATATTGGTATATTAATGAATAATGTAAATTTTTTTTTAATTCATTTAATATATTTATTAAATAAAATGTAAAATATCTAAATATTAAAATTAAAAGTACATTGTTTAATAATAACTGGTAGATGTTATAATAAAATAATTTTGAAAGTACAATGTTATAATAAGAAAGTCACATCACTATAATACATGTAGACAGCCTAAATGGACAATAAGGTGGCATGTGAACCTGGTATAGTAGAGAAATTTAAATCAAAAGATTACCCAATGCTATAAGGGGTAAATTTTTCAAAGTACAATGTTCTAATAAAAAATAGTTTGAAAGTACAATGATATAATAAAGAAATTTATAAAAGTAGATTGTTATTTTGTGTATTTTGCCTATTTTTTTATGTTATAAAGTTTGCTCAACTTATTGTGCAGTTTCATAATGTTCTTCACTAACGAACCAGGTGGTGGTGTTTTATATATTCTTATTCAAATTTAATCATACATTAAAAATATCAAAAGTAAATCTAAAAAGGAAATTAGTTGATAAGTGTGTGCTTAATCTACACTTTCCTTTTTCGTCCGTGGAAGAATTTTGTTTCATATCAAATCAAGATTGTTACGATGATAGTAACCAAATAAGAGAACGTGAAAATTGCATTAACCGTCTTCTATAATCATACATGATTGATTTAGGGTTTTTCTTATGTTCTCTTTTGATAGGTTTGTTTGTATTTTATACTTCAAAAGACGAAGGTTTCTGGAATATAATATGCAAATAATCTGATGCCATAAAAGAGGGTCATATACAACAACACTAAATCCCCAATTGCAAATTACCAATGAAACTTAATTAACGTCGGATTGATTGCATAAACGGTAGCCGGAGAAGATCAACTAGGGTTGCGGTGGAGGAGGAGATGGGGTGACATCTACGATCATTTTTAGCCCTAATAAACAGTAATTGAAGATACTGCATGTGAAATACAACTCACCTGTTTTTGTCAAAGAAACCAACGCCGGCCCATCGCTGTAAATATTCTCTGGATATTCCCATTCGCAACGTGCGTACTGCCCATATGATACTTGAAGCACATTGTACATTTGTGATTCGAACTCGAAATCTGCAATTAGTTAAGGTTTTCAATTTGAAGTAAAGAAGATTCATAAGGAATAACCGGAAGAAATTTGATTACGTACGGAGAATGTCGCCGGGATGGAAAGACTGAGAAGAGGACCAGTTATTATAGAAGTTTTTGCTGGGAGGAATGGACCAAATAGAGCCTCCCACGATGTGTTTCTTACCACCGACGACGGCTGTGAAGAGCACTAGAATTAAAGCTAATGGTACTAGTATCGCTGTTTTGGAGAACCGGTGACGGCAGTGCGCCACCATTGGCCGCCGCATCCAGGGAAGGAGAGAATGCATTTGTGCAGTTACGGGAAGAGAAAATGAAGATTACGGTTATTGCAATTAAACGCAGTTCTTATGTGTAATGAGTGAATTACACATTTGGTCCCTCGTGAATGTCTCTTTTATGGTTTTCTTCTCTCGAGATAATAAAATACGTTGGTACTTGGTAACTCAAAAATCACGTTTCAAAGCCCAAATCAGTCCCTCCCTTAACATCATTAGAGACTGCTCCGTTAAGTCAGTCATGTGCTCCTTACGTCATGAGTTCATACTCAAGTCAGAGAACATTACCCATATTCTTCTCACTTTAACAAAAGCAAATCAAGAAAGCTCAAGAATACTTATATTTAAAACACAAAGATTTAGATGATGAACAAAACAATTCATTTAAACATAATCCACAACAATCTGAATCTATATCTAAGCACAAATTCCTAAACAGATCAATAAAATCAAAAAAGGCAAAAACCCTATACAAAATATGGAAACAATCTCACAACTAAAGGGAGAGTGTCGCTGCTTGGCGGCTCCAAGAACACCATAACCAGATCGAGAAAACCATTCGACTGTTTAAAAAAAGTTGATCGAATATCTTCTTCAAATTTGCTTGGATGGTTGCTTCGAAAACCAAAACACCCTAGATGGTGACCTTGAACCAGGACCGTCCTTAGCATGTTAAAGGTGAGATTTTAAACAGGGCCTTCAAAATTTTGGGACCTAATTTTACATATGTTTAAGGCATTTTCATCGATCTGTGTAAAGTTATAGCACAAATTGTTAATTGTTTAGGTTTAGATATAAATTATTAATGGTTTAGGTTTAGGTTTAAGTTAGGTTCATATTGTTGATTGTTTAGGATTAGCGTCCTTTTGTACTTGATATATGCGTATGTTGTTATCTCTTATGCAATGCCATCAAAAGTTCCGGATGCTACAGGGCCTATAAAAAGATTGGAACGTCCTTGCCTGGAACGAGAGAATAAACAGAATAGACCGGAGTTAATCGATGGGGAGGAGTGAGAAAAGGGGAAGGATCGTTCACTTTCGACCATCATCTGCCAAAGAAACAGCGCCATCGAGGGCGGGGGAGGTTTCAAGATCTGCAGGTTTCAAGCGCCATCAAGCTGTGGGAGTTGACTTCTACACTTGAATTTGCAGAAAACAAACCATTTGCCATTCTTTTTCTTGTTTAGATCTCCATATCATCATCGACTTCCACACTTGAATCTGATAAGATTCTGGACAGGGACTCAACATGGAGGCAGGGGGTGGTTCTTGAGTTTTTCTAATTAAAAGAACAAGGAGGGAGGGGGTGTAGTTCACTCGTGCGTGAACTTTCATCATGACAGGTCTATGTTTTGATTCATCTTTTTCTTCTTATTTTGCAATAAGTAGCGCATTTTATTCTTCAGACTACATGTAAGAAACTGAAACAGATGCACCACTTATATTTTGAACAACGTGCAATGGATTCAGGGAATGTCTTGCCATATGCCTCTAATCAGATGGACCAAACGGCAGAACCACCAGATTAGTTATCACCAATTTCACACACAAACCAGATATGATTTCAACATTAAGCATCATTCTAAGCCAGAATCCACCGTTGAAGAGAAATCAAATTGGCCAAAGGCGTGCGACCAAACTATCAAGAATTAACTAACAAGAACCCAAGCTATCAATTATTAAAACAATTTCAAAGCAATGTCGTTCATCAAACCAAACAAGCAGCAAAGGCCTCGTAAAGCTCTAACACCAGTTTCAAACCAGCAAGTATCATCCATACATCTTTAAAAGGTTCCCAAAACAGTTGACAATATAACATAGTACTAGTAGTAGAAGGTCGTATAAAAGAACGAAAATTACAGCTGATATTATTGTCTTGCCAAGACTGACCACCTATAGACGAGCAAACCATGCTTCCTTCAATCATTGCTGTGCACATTGTACCCTCTGTGCCCCACCATGCATGTCGTCATCTTCATCGTAAGCTTCTTGAGCTGCTTGCTGCTTCCTTCGCATCTCCTCTTCTATGTTGACATCATGCAGAGTTGTCTCCTCACATTCATCCAGCTCCATGTCTGTCATCTGCATTGAAGGCCTAGCTGGCAGCACACCCTCCAGTGCCTTGCACTGCTCCGGCGTCAATGAATCAGGGAATTCCACTGTGAAGTGGATGTACAACTTCCCCCTCATGAATGGCCTCTGGTACATAGGCATTCCTTCATCATTTATGGCCTTGAATTGATCTACAAAATAATCAATGGAAAGCTTTGCAATCAAATACTGATCAGATTTAGCAAGAGAAAGTGATTGACGATGACAAAGCAAACAAGCATCAAAACCATGACAGCATAATAATAATAATAATACATTGTGGCCAACAGGTGTACACTCCCCTAATTTGTGAAAGGTGCCCCAGTTATACAAACCAATTTTCAATGTTTGTAAGCACATGCAAAAACAAAATAAACCTTTCAGCTTAAAAGGCATAAGTAATTACCAGGCTTAACAACCTCTCCAGGCTGAGATTTGATGAGAAGCTGTCTACTATCCAAATGGGTCAAGATAAACTGGAACCCACAGAGTGCTTCAGTTAAGCTCAATGTGTGCTCAACAAATACGTCATCACCCTTTCGCTTAAACTTAGGGTGCTCTTTTTGTTGCAAGACAAATACAATATCACCAGTAACTGTGTCAGGCTGCAAAACACATACAAGTAAGTTAAGATACAATTTATCTATCCAAACTACACAAACAGAGAGTAACGATAAGCTTACAGCTTCATCAGCCTCTCCAGGAAATGTGATCTTCTGCCCATTTTGCATGCCCTTCTCTACATGGACTTCGAGCACCTTCTTCTCCTGCACCACTTTCTCACCCTTGCACTGTGGGCACCGATCCTTATCATTGATGGTCTCTCCAGTACCCTTGCATTCATTACAAGGATGCTGCATTTGCTGGATCATAGATGGGCCAAGATGTCTGATGGAAACTTTCATTCCCGAACCTTGACAGCCTGCACATTTCATTGAAGCACCTGATTTTGAACCCTTGCTGAAAAATTGCAACTGGCATTAGTGTAATGAGGAATAGAAACGAATAAATGTCGAACATAAATACAAGATAAGAACTCACCCCTTACACTTCGAGCAAATTACATTACGTGAAAGAGATAGTTTTTTAGAAGTTCCGTTGTAGAGGTCCTCAAGAGAAACTTTGAGAGGATGAATGACATCTTCTCCCCTTCGTTGCCTTCGGCCCCTGCTGCTACCACCACCACCTGGGTACAAAAGATTTCAAGTGAATCCAACAATAAACACAACCCCAGCAATTTAACAACTGGAATAGAATGACTTCTAGGCCAAGCATCCTTACCTCCAAAAGGATTGCCACCAAAGAAGGATTGGAAGATGTCAAAGGGGTCATGGCCCCCACCTCCACCACCCATTCCTTCCTTCAAGGCGTCCTCACCATACTGATCATATATCTCACGCTTCTCTGGGTCACTCAGTACCTCATATGCTTGAGCCAGCTCTTTAAACTAAATGATAGACACCATTTCACAAACATAAATACAATGTTCATAAAGATATTGATGTCCAGTATAAGGAAAAAACATATTCTTCATCCATAAGAACAAGTAGACTTTACAAAATTCTGTCTCAAATAAGTATCTTTTTCCTTGGATCACACTTCAAGGACTTTAACCAAGAGCAGTTTGTTCAAAAATTTTGTTTTTATATTCATTCAACATTTCAGCAAGAGCTCGACTATTTTCATTGTTGCAGGATGATCGGGAGGGTAAAAAGGGTTACATTTTAAACGTTGTCCAGTTCAAGACTTAAGGCACAAAATAAAAACATAATCGACTGCCATATCACAGATGCTCCTACCACAGAAGTTGTCAGAATCTACAACAGCAAAAAGAGAAAAAAATAACTTTTTTTCGTGATTTCAGCACCATAATCCTAGCAGATTGATACCAGAATGAAATACAAAGCATCATGCTGAAAAAATGAGCAAAACTTGTATAATCTAGATAATGGGTCTTGTAAAATGATTTTACTGTGAGAAACAAATATAAGATGCAGGTTCCAATTCCATAACAACCTCATAATAACTACATTTATTTATTTCAGTAAACCGCCAACAGTATTAGACAAGTAGTGACCCCTTTTTCAAGGTTATGGTGTATTCAAGTAATACTACGTCACATATGGATCGAGGATGTCCACGGCATTAGAAATTATCTACAAACTAAACAAATGAAACTTATCATCATTGAAACACCTTATCCACGGTACCAGCTGAATTTTTGATGATTGAATTTTAATTGCTCATTATTCGCTCAGTTATATGCAGCCATGTACCCGCGGTTCATTTAAGCATTAGCAAATTTCAAATTATCGCGTTAGGTACCAGAACTCCCCATCAATTTACCTCTAAATTACCCATCCTCAAACAAATCATTGATACTGAATTTCATCCGGTTACCAAATTAACTTCCACCATCCCCATCAAGCAACAAGTAAATCATATCCAATTACGTCCTAAAACTCAACAAAGTCCACAAAAAAAATCCAAATATGATAGCTTTGGAAGTAGTATTACCTTCTCAGGATCTCCACCCTTGTCAGGATGATTCTTAATGGCAGCTTTCCTATAAGCCTTCTTTAGATCGTCCTGGGAAGCAGTATTCGGGACCCCAAGGATCTCATAGTACTTAGTGTTATCGCTCTTCTTCGGTGCTCTTCCAAACATCCTGTTCTTTCTTCTTCGATCTTCAATATTAAATTACAAATCTAACACACACATAATCAGATCGAAACCAAAACGAACACAATAATCGATAGCGTAAACATAGAAAGACCGTAGAAAATCTGTAAGACAGGCATAGATGCGTACCTGCGAAGTAGATCGAAAGGAGAAGACTTGACTCGTCTGCGTTCGGCGAGAGAGAGAGGGTTTGGAATTTGGGGGTGGGAGGGATGATATTATTTGAGGGAACGGATATGGACGGCCCAGATTGTTTGATCGTGACAAAACCGATACTAAAGAAGCCTCTAGAATGCTCCTTGTGCTTCCATCTGCTTGCCCTTTCTATGAAGCAATCTCCACCGTTCTAATTTTTTTGTTCTTGGCCAAATATTTTTTTAAATACAAGAAAAGCGTACTTGCGTAATACAACGAAATACATCGTGGTTTTAATATTTTATTTTATTTTTTATCTCATTCGATGTTATAATATGGCTTTATGTTATTTTGAGAAAGCGAT